TTGCTCTATGTCAAGATTGTGCACCATTTCTTAAGGGAAGGAGGATCAGCCAGGTGGTGATGGCTCACACCTTTAATCCCAGCACTCAGGAGGCAGAGGCAGGTGGATCTCTGTGAGTTCAAGACCAGCCTGGTCTACAAAGTAAGTTCCAGGACAGCCTCCAAAAGCTACAAAGAAACGCTGTCTCAAATTAAAAAAAAAAAAAAAAAAAAAAAGGAGGAGTACAAGTATCAAAATCATAACTATTTCATTACTTGCAAGTTGTTTATGATTATAATCCCTGATTTCCAGAAGGAACTTCAGATGAAGAATTATGGGACAGTCTGAAAGCATATCAAAGAGGCAACAATAACAAGAGAGAGAACACAATCTCTGTTCAATTTTGGGTCACTTTGGGTATTAATCTGAACTGTTATCAAAACACTTAAGGACAATATTAATCATGAGGAAGAGATGGCTAATTCCTTCAATGAATATAAACCAAAGGATCAAACGTTAAAATTGGTAAAAGATGCAAATAGTGATTTTCCTCATTCAGGCTCGAAAGCAAAAACAATGCTACCGACAACTATGCCGGGGAAGGTGATGTTTCTCTCAGCTCCCTTTCTAGAGCCTTCTTTAGGTATATGTCCTTCTGAACATGACTCTGAAGCATGGGGTGAGGAATGTAATGATCTATCTAATCTTGAATTTGCCCTACTTTTTAATAAGGCTTAGGAGAGCCTATGAAAATGCTGACCTTACAACATAGGCAAGCTAGGGCATAGCAGGAAAGCTGAATTTGTTTACTAATTCTTCCCCAGCCTTGGTATTTTCAGTGCAATGCCAGCAAAATCAAAATGTTTACCTAATTATGCAGTAACCAATCTATAGAAAACTCTAGACCAAGAGGCTACATTGGACAGTACTTACATATTAACTTGAAAGGCAAGAAAAGGACTATAACTATTTGAATACAAACTGAAAAAAACAATTATGTATCATGTGGATCCTTTACTGCCTTTAGACTTAGTTATTTTGCCCACGAAATTGTTTCCTACAGGTATTCTAGCACAAGAGGATAAACATTTGGAATGGAGCCATAAAATACCTTACTCTTCTTGCTCAACGAGTAAATCAAGGGAGGAACTGATGTCCACAATTATATGGATTTAATCCTTGCTATATTATATTACCCTTAACTAACAATCAGTTTTTAAGAGAGTTGAAGAAATCTTTGCATTTTTAAATTTCATTTTCAGGTACCATGGAAGGATAGGAAATCAATATTCGGCTGGCAAACTATGGGATTTTCTCATATGAACTGAATTTGTGATCACAAAAATTGTTCAACTGTCTCCCATTCCAAAGGCAGATACTTATCTTATTGATGGCTCATCTAATGGTATAGGAGGAACTTATGGCCCAGATATTCATCAATGTATTAATATTTTCCTTTCATGAGCCCAACAGGTAGACTGGCTTTTTGATTTATCTATTATGGTTAATTCATAAATCCTTAAATATAGTTTCAGATTCTGCTTATGTTGTAGGGTTATTTCCAGCAATTGACTCATGGGTTTTACTGTAGAAGGAAATAAGCAAGCTGTTGCATTAGCTTGCCCTATTTTTACTTCTTCAGAAGAAAATTGGGAAGGGGTATGCATCTGTGATTGCAGATGGATCAACTGAATGATTATTGCCCTCTGCAGCTCCTCTGGCTTCAGGGAATCAAGTCAGAGAGACAGCAAAATTTACCAGAAAGATAGCAAACCACCAACTGAAGGGCAAAGGGAAATATGTACAATATCATCAGAAATCAAATCTGTTAACCTTGAGGCCCTGTGTACCAAGGTAGAAGTTATTCTACTAATGACTCTGTGTTTATGCCTAGCTCTTGAGACTGCAATAGACTCATTCATCCATCTAGAAAGGGGGCTGTGTTTAATTTTTCCTTGGGATTAAAATCACTTCCTTAGCAATAGAAGATTCCAGGTTTTTACATATTACTCTCTGTCTGAAAAATCACTAACTTTCAGGAAAACTTCAATAATGTTTATATTTATCTGGATTTATACAAATAAGCAATACAGGCAATACTTTCTGTTTCTGAGAAGTTTATGCTTAGTCATTCCATTTTACAAAGGTCAGATCTGAGTAAGTAGTGCCACTGTCAGAACTCAACTATTTTTTCCCTCTTTGAAAAATAGAGATTCACAACCAAGCACTGAGTGGAACTCCTGAAACTCAGTTGTAGAGAAGGAGGAGTTCAAGGTCATGCTAGGGAAACCCACCGAAACAGCTGACCTGAGCAAGTGGGAGCTCATGGACCTGAATCTAACAGCTGGGGAACCAGCATAGGACCGACCAGGCTTCCTAACCGTGGGTGTCAGTAGGAGGCCTGGGCAGTCTGTGGGGCCTCTGCCAGTAGAACCAGTATTTATCTCTAGTGCACAAATGGGCTTTGGGAGTTCTATCCCTATGGAGGGATACTCTCTCAGCCTAGATAAACGGGGAAGGGCCTTCGCCCTGCCCCATATGATGTGACAGATTTTGATGATTCCCCCATAGGAGGCCTCACCCTTCCTGGAGAGTGGATTGGGGGTGGGGTGGGATGGGGGGTTTGGCAGGGGGCATGGGAGAATGGGAGGGAGAGGGAACTGGGATTGGTATGTAAAATAAGATTGTTTTTTAATTTAAATAAAAATTTATTAAAAATAAATCACTTCCTATTTTCATAGGACATTATAAGACTTATATTCCTATTAGAAGGCGTATGTTCTTGTTTTACCGGGTAACAGAATTACTAATTATATAGGTCTCTTTTCAAGCTATTCTTTAGACTTTTCTGATCAATATAATAATGTAATTGGACACAGTTTGGATCTCTTTTTTTGGTGGCACAGTATTATACACATGCTCTCACTGTTCAAATATTATAATTTGCTTGCTTATAGGATATTCATGCATCAAATGATAATTGAAATCTACAACATCTCAAATCAAAACCACTGGATTGCCGGGCGTTAGTGGCACATGCCTTTAGTCCCAGCACTTGGGAGGCAGAGGCAGGTGGATCTCTGTGAGTTTGAGGCCAGCCTGGTCTACAGAGATAGTTCCAGGACAGGCTCCAGAGCAATACAGAGAAGCTCTGTCTTGAAAAACAAAAACAAAAACAAAAAAACCACTAGATATCCTGCTATTAAAAACAAAAAGGGGGAAAATGTCAGAACACAGTCCATCAATGAAGCTATGGGAGATTTCTGAGACTTTATGAGAAAACTCCAAGGAAACAAGTTAGGAGTCTTGTAATCTCTGCTCCTCCATAACATGGGTTGTTCTTGGAATGTGCTCTTGTGCCCCTCCCAGGCATAATTAAGTAGGAGTTCACTTCAGATTATTCATTATAACTGTCTATTATTGGTTCATATGCCTTATGGAAAAACATGTTTTTGCCACATGAAGCTTGTCCTCCTAATTGTATACTTTACTCGGGTGACTCTTCTTAACTGTCAGAATATAAATTATCTGATCCTCTGAATAAAGCTGGCTATTGCATGAGACTTTAATCTGCCTCATTTTTAGGCCCTGCCATCCCTGTTTCACTCTGCAAACTAGAACAGTAAACAGTTAAAATTAGGAGGTGTGGCCTTATTGGAGGAGGTGTGTCACTGGGAGTGGGCCTTCAGGTTTCAGAAGCTCACACCAGGCCAGTCATGTTCTCTGTCTGCTGCCTATAGATCAGGGTATAAAATGCTCAGCTACAGCTTCAACACAATTCACTTCTTTTGAGTTGTTGACCAGTAAGGTACAATAGACCACACACACACACACACACACACACACACACACACACACACATTACTGGATACTACAGCTAATGTTATTCGTTACCCTCTGAAACTTGACAGTAAGACTCTATTGCTAAAAAGGTCACATATCAGAGTCATAAAACATGAATATATCAATCTAGTAGTGACCTGAAAGCTTTATCCCTATTGGCTACACTCCATAATGCAGCAAGGTGCTGTTCACTCCACTAGAGGAGAAAAATAATCATCAATCTTACCCATTTGTGAACCATGTGTGAGCTATAACAAGACATGTCCACTGGTATTATAGTGGCATGAATGCTATGGAATTAACCAACCACTTTCTGGTTAGATTTAAGGCCTGCTGGATAAAATGAAAACCATACCTAGCACCTTTGTCAGGCCAAAAGCCTATGGCTAGACAGGTCATAGTACACAGGGACAAACCTACTACCATTATGCTATCAAATGAACATGGTATTAAACTGACTCCTAATGACTTATCATTACAGTCATAGATTAATGCATCTCTGATCAGAGAAGCTTCAATTTGCAATAGATGGAAGTTAACATAGAGACCCACAACTGGTCAAGGAACAGAGAATGAGATTTTAATCTCAGCCCTTGGGAGGCAGAGGCAAGTGCATCTTGGTGGGTTCCAGGCCAGCCAGTTCTACATGGTGGGTTCCAGGCCAGCCAGGACTACACAGTGAGATCCAATCTCAAAAAGAAAAAAATTAATCATAAAAAGAGGACAGACACAATGTTGGGAAGTAATGGAAGGGGCATGGAACTGGAGGAGTTAGAAAAGGGGTGAATATGATCAAAATATGGTGTACAAAATTCTCAAAGAACTAATAAAAAATTCAAAACCTAACTGATAAGAAAATAAAGATCAAACTAACATATAATGGACAAATAGAAATATTCTACCAGCTTTATAACTATGATATTAGAACTGTATATAATTGGGATTAGCAAAACAATCAAGTAATAACTTGGAGTTTATATGCTACAAAGGAGTCTTTCTCCTTTCTTTCCATAGTGCTGGGAGCAGTATGGGTCAGGGTACTACCAAGCATATATTACAATACAAAAATATTCTTATCAAATAAATAAATATGGGCTGTTTAATATAAGCAAAAAAATCTTCACACGATTCTCATTTCTATTTATTTTAACTTTCATCAATGCCTGCTTTTGGCCTACCTGAGCTAGAGTAGGAACAGAAATTTGGCCGGTCTGCATATGAGCAGAGCTATGTTCTGCTACAGAATGTGTCGCACTTCGATCCTGTGATTCAACTGTTTCCATGGTCATTTGCCTAAAAAAGAAAAACACATTAAGGCATTAACTTAAAAGATCTAAAAACGCTGGCTACTGTTTTTACCAACTTCTTAATATTTACTTTCTTTGTTGTTTGGCTTTTGGTTTTTTTGTTTGTTTGTTTGTTTGTTTGAGATTCCATCTTATACCTGTCAGAATGGCTATGATCAAAAACACAAACATGAGACCTTCCAGAGCAGGATTAGGATATTTTTAGGAGAGGTCACTGAGAAGCCTGAATTCCATGCAGACCCTACTATTTGGAAAAATGATGAGCCTGTTTGTCTAGAAATATTATAACCTACTCAACAGTTAGTGCAGGAACAGCTAGACAGTGGTCATATTATGCCTTCTAATTCCCCCTGTAATTCTCCCATTTTCATAACTAAAAAAAAAAATCTGGATAGTGGAGATTAATACAAGATTTGAAAAAAGTTAATGAGACCATGCAGCTAAAGAGAGCTTTTATAGTCAGGATTGCCTATTCCTGCAGCCATACCAAAAGTACTTATAAGATTATTTTAGATTTAAAGGACTGTTTTTATACCATCCCTTTGGCTCCTCAAGATTTACCAAAGATTTACATTTAGTGTTCTAGCAGTTAATTTCAAGGAGCCCATTAGGAGATATCAGTGAAAGTTCTTGCCCCAGGACATGGTTAATAGTACAACATTGTGCCAGAAATCTGTGGTTCAAGCTTTACAAAATATTAAAGAACAATTTCTGCAGGTTTATATTATTCATTATTTGGATGATATTTTACTTGCCCATAAAAATGAAAAAGTTTTGCTTGCAACATATGGACAGCCGCAGCAAAACCTTGTCAAATCAGGGTTAATAATTGTCCCTGAAAAGGTACAAAGACAACAGTCTTTTCAGTATTTGGGACATATGTTATATTCTAAAGAAATTAAGCCTCAAAAGTTGGAAATTAGGGGAGATAACTTACAGACTTTGAATGACTTTTAAAGATTATTGGAGAATATCCAATGGCTACTACCCTATTAAAAATCGTCTGCAGGGGATATTGACCCCCCTCTATGAGATTTTTAAGGGCAGTTGTGATCCTAGTTCCCCTAGACAGCTCATGGAAGCTGCTAGACAAATGCTAACTCAGATGAAACATACAATTGGTGTGTCCATGGAGCTTTGAAATCACAACTTCAAAAAACAAGTAAAGGGGAGTTGTATCCCAGTCTCCTCATAATGCATTAAATCATACACTTTTCATTTTAAATTTTCTGAATGTGGACTTTCATAAGCAATCTGCAGTGAATACATTCTGGCATGATGGCACTCAAGCGACTTTTACTTAAGTCAAATGGAAAGATCCTTACAGTGGATTATAGAAAGGACCAATCCTGTTTTAATATGGGGTTGAGGCCATGTTTGTTTTCTCTCACACGAAGAAATTGAGGCTGAATGGCTGCCTAAACATCTGATGAGGTGTATCAAGCAGAGGAATGCCAGACCTGAAGACATCATACATAGCTACTAAAGTCCCCCAGACAAGTTTGAGTAAGAACTGTTGATGCTGTGTTCCTGACCCTCTGATGGCATCATCCTACAGTCTGAGAAGGGAAAGAGACTACTGTTTAGTGATTTCCAGTTTCTCAACAAACCTGCCACACCAACTTCCCATACCTCTATGAGTTTTAATTATCCTGGATCTGGCCAAGGACTGAATGTCTAGCAGTTTATCCACGCTATATCCTGGGACATAGAACTCATTTTGCCAGTGGAAACTCATTTCTGCTGTTGCCTCAGAGACTTCCCCTTTGGGAGAAAATGACTCATTAGAACAATTGAACACTATTATGGAGGCGATGTCTGTCCTGTGGCAGAAGCACAGATATTAATTAATTAATTTTAGAAGGGGGGATTGTCGGGGTCATAAAAATGGCTTCACTTCATCTTGACTTAAGGTCAGAGAGTTCAAAACTATCATTACTCTTCCAAGGTTAAAGTCATAAGACATAAAAGTCTAAGGCATGGCTACTGTAGGATGTTTGACCTTAGGTGTGCAAGTCTTACTATAGGATGTTTGGCCTCAGGTGTGGATATCTTATCTAAATAACAAGAGACTTGATCTAAGATGTGGTTACTCTTACCTGGCAAGATCAGATAATGAGAGATTTAGTCTACTGAATGTTTGGAAAATTAAGGAAGTAAGTCTATTTGTTCCTTGTATCTTGGTAAAGAAGTCTCTTGCCTTTTTCACCTTTTTGGTTTAGATATACTAGAATGTTAAAGAATAAGCTTGAGGCGATCAATATTCACTGGATTGTCCTCTGACCTCTATTCTGTGTCTCTATATTTTTCTTAGTATCTTTACCTGCTGTTTCCTCAATCCACACACTCCCCCCTCTCATGTATGAACTGGGAAAGTTGTCTGGATCAGACAAAAGCACCCCAAAGATGGGTTCTCCAGATGACCCCTCAATGTGGGGCACAAACAAAAGATGGACTTCTATACACTGGCTACTGCTTTTATCTAGCTCTCTGATATTCACTTCTGGCAGTCATCTCTACTACCATTTTTGTTGTTGTTGTTTCTGTTTGAGATTCCCATCTTATACCTGTCAGAGTGGCTATGCTCAAAAACACAAATGACAACTCATGCTGGTGAGGAAGTGGGGCAAGTAGTGCAAACTTGTACAGCCACTATGGGTTCCTCAGAAAATTGGAATCAACATTTCTCAAGATCCAGCTATACTAATCCTAGGCATATACCCAAAAGACACTCGATCCTATCACAAGGACACCTGCTCAACTATGTTCAGAGCTCACACCTTTAATCACAGGATTTGAGGGGTATAAAAGGTAGAGTCTGAGAATTAGTCTCTAACTACATTGAGGAGAACACAGCAGTCTGAGTGAATCTAAGGAGCAGTGAAGGCGGGAACAGTTTGAAGATCAACCCTTTGGTCTGAGCTGAGGTAGAGGTGAGAGCTATGGCTGGCTACTTTGCTTTTCTAATCTTCATCTTGAAGCTTGAACCCCAATATCTGTTTCTAGGTCTTTTATTTTATGTGCAACAATATTTTGTTCAGATCCCTGTGAGACCTGCTCTTTTCTGAAGGGAAATGGAGGAGGAGTGGATCTGGGGGAAAAGGCAAGGAACTGGGTGGAGTGAAAGGAGGGAATAATTCGGTCAGAGTGTATTATATAAGAGAAAAAGAAAAAGAAAAAGGGGGGAAACAGAATAGGTTCAGTAACAGAGTTTTAAAGCCCTGACATTAATTTTCTGCTCAATCAGTAAACATGAAGGATGCTAAGGGAGTATCATAATGTATTTTATGGGAATTGGCTTTTTAGTTCCTGCTGCCAAGCCTGGGACCTTCATGGCAGACTAAGAAACCTGACGAAAGCAAATGGTCCTCTGACTTGCACGCATGTGCACACACACACATACACATACACACACTCAATAAATAAACATAGTTTTTTAAAGACTTAAAATAATCATATAATTGTCTTCTTGATAAGTGTTGTTTTATGAATGAATAGAAACTTTAGATGAAATATTACAGGAAAAGTTCAGCATAAGTAGTTCTCAGGACCTAACACACCTGCTTTATACTGTGGTATGGTGTAAAAGATTTCTTCCTTCCCCATTGTCTACACTGTGTTATAATTAGTACCTGGCTCTGTTGGCAATAAGCAGTTTCTGAAAACAAGTCTCCCAGAAGAGTAGAATCAGTAAGAATTGAGCAGCTTCCAAGTAATTTATTTACTCATTTGTTCATCCAATTTGCAATTCTAGGATGGGAAGCCCAGAGTTGTATGCATGCTAGGCGGTGCTCTACCACTGAGCTACATCCTCAGACCTTCAGTTCTTAAGAGGAGCAAAATCATTTTTCAAGGAATAACTTACTTTTGTTATGTTTTTGCTTCTGAACTCATTTTGTTAATAGTTTCTATATGCTGTCTTTCTACAGGTAATCATATTACAAGAAGTCTTATTCTATTAAGAGAAAAATATAAAAGCCAGATCGGATAGCTTGAATGGGTAATGTCCCTCATAGACTCAAATACTTAACACTTGGTCCCTGGCTGTTAGAGATGTTAGGAGAAGTTATGAAACCTCTAGGAAGTAAAGCCTTGCTATAGAGAGATGTCCCTGGGGGGAGGAGGTGGAACTTTGAGAATACATATCCTCTATCCACTTCCAGTTTGTTCTGCTTCCTGTATGTGAATAAATATGTCTCTACCTTCCTGCCACTATGCCCATCCCCACACCCCAATTATGGACTCCAACCCTCTGGAACCTCAAGCCAAAATAAACCCTTTCTTCTTAAAGCAGTTGTTGGTTATGGTGTTTATCACAGCAGTAAAAATTAACAAATATACCAGGCAAAGTAGCAAATGCCTCCAATTCATAGTAGGTCCAAACAGATAGTAGGATCAAAAGTTCAAGACCAGCCTCAACTACATAGTGAGTTTGGGGCAAGTCTGGATGGACTGAAAGAGAGCCAATCTCAAAACGCTGCCCTAATAGGAGAAAAATAAAATAACATAAAATACAGACAAAACAAAGTCAAATTAAAACAGTAATATACTTATCAACTGTTTTTCCCGGATTAAGTTACTAGATTCTACAAATCCTTCATTTAGGTCTTTCATTTACGTTTTTGGCTTTTCAATAGCCATTACCTGAATCCAAGCCTTCCACTCTCACATTTGTCTACTGTAGTTTATACTACAAGGCCATTTTCATACTTAATATCTGATAATGACAATTTAAGAGTAATTATGCTAAAATGAAAACCTACAGTCTACTACAGAAAGTGTCCTTCCTTTAATATTTCTGATATTTTATCTTCTTATTGCCTTCCATCACAGTATCTGCTGTGTGTGGATGGAGTTGGGGGTGGGGTACTAGTTTTGGGATGGGATCTTATTATATAGGCCAGGCAGGCCTAGAATTTTTGAGTCCTACCCTCCCAAGTGCTAGGATCACAGTCCTACCATGAGGCCAAGGACAAGAAGCTTCTTAAACTATTTGAAGTATGATACATTTGAAATGCTTTGAGAACACATGGCGACATCTGCTGAGGAGGGGGGTCACATGAGCAGAATATTGAAGGTTATGTAGGCAAGATAAAGAACAGGAAAAAGGGAAAATATTTTTAATTAATTCTATCATGGGCACCCAGGAAACAATTCTTAAAAGTTAGGATCAAAGATGAGAACAGGAAGCATAGTCCAAAAATTCTAACTGAAAAATGAGACAGTTATAAAACTATAATAAATTAGTAAATTTGTAGTTTGGGGTTTTCCCATTTATCAAAACAAATTAGACTAGTAAACAGCTAAATTACCCTTGAGATATTTTTCAACTGTTCTAAAAAACATAACACAGTTGTGGGAAAAAACTCATTAATGCTTTTTTTTGTTTGTTTGTTTGTTTTTAAAATTAGGTCTCAGGTAGCCCAAACTGACTTCAAACTTGTTATATAGCCCAAGATGGCCTTTAAGTCCTCATTTTCCTATGCATACAGCTGGAATGCTGGGACTTGAGGCCTGCACCAACATGCCCACTTTATTTGCTGCTAAGGCTAGAACCTGGCTGGGGCTTTGTGCATGCTAGGCAAGCACTCTCACCAACTAAGCTCCATCTCCAGGCCAAAGTTATTCCTATTTTCAAGTAACTTTACCAGAAAAGGCATAGAAAAATTATTTTCTCATTAGAGATAGACCCAACTTATAAAACAGAGTGTTTTCTGAGGGTAATTAAAAGAAAACTAGAAAATTTCTGATTTGTAAAACACCCTGGAAAGTCTCTTCTCCTTTTCAAAGTTTAATAGCAAGAGAAACAGATGCCTCACACATCTAGATAGTCAGGTCTACTTTTGAGCTGAAGATGTCACCAGGACTCAGAAAAAGCCAAATGTGAACACCCATTTCAGCTTCATCCCTGCTACAAGTAGAACATGAAGGCCTTAGCTGAATGGCTGAGTGATAGGGTATGTGTAACCACAACATAGATGCATGACACATGTGTACACATGTGTACAGAGGCACCACTAATTTGTTTATCACTGGAACTTTTGGCACTAGGCAAGAACTTGTAAAGAATAGGAAAACATCCACCTACCTTACATTTGTCCTCATATACTTTTTCCTGCCACATTTGCTCATTATTATTACATGTGTAATCAATGCTTTGCTCCTTCCCTGTTTTCTTCTTTATTTATCCTGCAGTAAAATCACAATGTTGAATTATGAGGTCACAACGTTTTTTGTTGTTTTGTTTTGATTTAAAGATTTATGTATTATATATACACTGTTCTGCCTGCAGCTCAGAAGAGGCAACAGGTCTCATTATAGATGGTTGTGAGTCACCATGTGGTTGCTGGGAATTGAACTCTGGACCTCTGGAAGAGCAGTCAGTGCTCTAAACCTGTGAGCCATCTCTCCAGCCCCTCAACATTTTATTTTTAAAATATTAAATCTCCCAAAGCAGAGCCAGAAAAAAAAACAAAACAAAAAAATAACTTTTTTTTCTCTTTCTTTTATTTCTTTCCTTCCTTTTTACTTAATTATTGAGACAGGGTTTTACTTTTTATAGCCCTAGCTGGCCTGGAACTTGCTATGTAGCCGTGGGTGACTTGCATCAAACTCAGAGATCTAGCTGCGATTAGAGGTATACATCACTATACCTGGTAAATAAATAGTCTATCTTCTTTAAAACTAAAAAACAAAATTAAAGGCTGAAAAGGACTCTGTAATTATACTCCAAACTTAACAATTTGTGCCAGATATGGCGGCACAAATTGTCAGACTTGAGAAGCAGAAGTAGGCAGAACTCTATGAGTTCCAGACCACCCAGAATTACATAGTGAGACCATCTATGAAAACAAACAACAGCCGCAAAAAAAAAAAAAAAAAAAAAAAAAAAAAAAGTTAAAAAGTTAAAAAAGCCTATATATTTATTATTCAGTGTCCTGCTCTTCTCAGGAAGGAGGAATCATAAGACTTACAGTGGCCATTTCTCAGATTAGATCCACTGGGGTGAAAGCAAAGGCAGTGCTACCTAACCCAACATACTCAGTAAAGCACTCAGCTATCCACTATTTACAACAAAGATAACGTCATAAATGTAAAAATTTTATAATTTTCTATTTTTTAGAGTTTTATTTTTATTATTTTTAAGTGTGTATGTGTCCACCCCCACTTGAAAGTATAGATAGATGCCTGCAGAGGCCAGAGGTGTCAGATCCCCTGGATGTGGTGCTGGGACTTGACCTTGGGTCTTAAATTTCACTCCATTACAACAAATTTTTCAGCCATTTTCTTTTAACTTAAAGAATTTTTTTTTCTCTTGAGAATTTGTGTCACTAGTCAGCCCTGGGTGACCTTTAACTTATAGAGATCCTCCTGCCTCTACCTGAGTGCTGGGACTAAAGGTGTGTACTAGCAGGCCCAGCTTGCACTCCAAACTACCAATTCATCTAAAAATAACTTCCTTCCAACTCACTTTAAAAGGCTGGCATGGACAGCCAAGGCTACACAGAGAAACCCTGTCTCAGAAAACAAACAAACAAGAGGCTGGTACATAAGTAATTAAAATATTTTTAAAAGTATATAAGAAGTTCATCTAGTAAAGTTACTTGCTGCCAAGCCTGATGGCCTAAATTTAATTCCTGGGACCAATACAAAGACTGCCACCAACCTCCACATATGCCCTGTCTTAGACATCAGCAGATACAAACATTCATGTATACACAAATACACACCAAATAACTATTAAAAAAATAGGCTGGGCAATGGTGTCGCACGCCTTTAATCCCAGGCATGGGCAGATGGATCTCTGTGAGTTTGAGGCCAGCCTGGTCTACAGAGAGAGTTCCAGATCCAGGACTGTAATACAGAGAAACCTGTCTCAAAAAAAAAAAAAAAAAAAAAAAAAAAATCAAAGGGGGTGGAGGGAGTTCAGAAATGGCACAATGATTAAGAGCACTTGTAATGGTCCAAAGACCTGAGTTTGGTTCCTGCCCATTGGGTGACTCACAATTCCTGGTTACTCCAGCTCCAAGGGATTTATCTAATGCTCTCCTCTGGTCTCTACCATTAGTTGCAAACATATGTATATTTTTTTAGACAAGTTTTCACTATGCAACTCTGGTGGGCCTGGAGCACACAATGTTGACCAAACTGGCCTGACACTCACAGAGATCTGCCTGTCTCTGCTTACCAAGTATTGAAATTAAAGGGGTACACTCAGCAGCACAATATTTTTTTTTAATTTAACCACTTTTTACTTCTAAACATTTGACATTGTAAAACTAGTAAAGAAAAAGACAAAAATGTATAAAATTTCATCTCAGAGTAGGAAAGAATGCCAGAAATGTGGGGCTTAGCCATGGGTACTCTGCTCCCAGAACTCCTTCCCAGCTGAGCCTCTTTGAAACTGCAGACAACAGGCCGGCTTGCCATCCTTTCCTATACCCTTGTAATCCCAGCACTCTTAAGATTGAAGCAGGGGAATCAGGAATTCAAAGTCATCCCTGGCTATACAGGGAGTTCAAGGCCAACTTGAATTACAAGATAGCTGCTTTAAAGGATGGAAGAGCCACTGGAGAAATAACTCATCAGTTAAGAACTCTCCCAAAGGACCCTGGTTTGCTTCTCAGCATCTACACAGTGGCTAACAACTGAAACTCAAAGATATGTGCCACCATGCCCAGCCTAAAAAACTTATGTTTCTAAAATAAGAAAGGAGGGCTGGGGGATGAGGGGTGGGGGTGGCAGCTGGTAAAAGTCTCTGCACTTGGGAGCTAGAGACAGGCAGATCTCTATGAGTTCAAGGATACTCTGGTCTAATTGCAAGTTCAAGGCCAGCTAAGAGTACATTGTGAGACTGATTCTCAAAATGACAACAAAGAAAACATGATAAAGGAAAAAAAAACACGAGGAAAAGGTATTCAGGGAAACTCTGGAACTGCCACCCACTTCCTCTTCCTAGTGGCAGCCAGTACTGAAGGGACCACCAGCTTCCTGGCATCACAAATGTGTCAAAAGATTACCCTCAATAATAAACTAGATTCTGGCACAGAATTATGAGAGAAATAATCACTCTACCCTCTAAGATGCCCTCTCTGGTTGGCTACCAACTTGCGAAATCTATGGGATGCTTTTTAGTCTCCATTTTCTTTAAGGCTTTAAGGTCTCTTCAGCATTTCCCTTAAATTCTAACCTACTTGAAGTCTTTGTAACACTACCTTCCTGCTCTGTTTCTTCCAAATTATTCAACTCTTTGTTCTGTCTTGATTTAAAAAAAAACAAAACAAAAAAAAAAAACAAAACAAAAAACAAGATCTTGAGGCTTGACTGATGGCTTTGTGGCTAAGACCATTAGCTGCTCTTCCAGAGAGCACCCACATGGTGGTTTACAACTATCCATAACTCCAGTCTCAGAGGATCTGAAGCCCTGAGAAGCCTTGAGGGTACTAGGCATGCATATAACACGCAGGCAAAGACACAAGTAAAACACCCACTCACAAAAAATTAACACTTGAAACAGGGTCTCACTCTAGCCCAGACTAGTTTCATATTCATGATGATCCTCCTACCTCAGCCTTCCAACTGCTGCTGGGATCACAGGCATGCACCTGTATAACCCACATCTACTAAGCCATTCTAAAAAAAAAAAAAAAAAGGCTTTCCAGCTGTTGTGGTGCATATCTTTAATAATCTTTTCCTGGCAATTCTCAAGTTTCACTTAAGAACATCAGTTTCCCAAGAATCTGCTGGGTGTAAGAGACTGTGACTCATGGGTCTTAAACACATGCTCAAAGTGAAATCAAACCACCTCCTCATCCAGCAGTTGTCTCCTGCCGTTACTTCACTGGTTGACAGAACTGACTCAGCCACACTAGCAGTCCTCTCCCTTCACACCATACCTTTGTCTCCAACTCCTGAGGTGGAAATGTGGCTGACCAGTTCAGTACGGTGATGGAGTTGGGGAAAGAGCATTGGGAGTTGAAGAGTATGAACTGGAGTTCTGCCCTTTATGAGCTGTGTGAGCTGAGACATTTATCCATACTCTCCAGCCACATCACTGAACCTGAAATATCCAACTGTTTTTGGAATATGGGATTCTAATCCCACATTATTCTGCTGAAGGGTCTTCATCCCTTCAACCTTGTTCACCCTGTCAGTGCTTTTTAGTTATCAACCTAGTAATTTTCAGGCACAAGGAAGAAAGTCTTCCCCTCCTTTACCTCACTCAAACCTCTCAACTTCTTGTAATCTGCTTCACTTGGTCACAGCACTGCTTGAAATGCTATTTTCTTGCCTGAAATCATTTGTAGCTCCCTTCACCTTAAGGACAAATATCCAATATTCTAAGCATACTGATTTTAGGGATGTGTGTGGAGACATAAAGCTTATTGTAAGGGCACTGAGAGGTTAAGGAATGTCATTCCATCATTTCCAGCCCCCAGGTTCAGATGGACTTTGTGAGGATTTGCTGAAGCAGAATTCCCAGTTTATTTCAGTATGAAATGCATAATTTGAAATTTTTGTTTTTTATGTGTGATTGTGTACATAGTACTAGGATTACACCTAGAGCCTAATGCATGTTAGGCAAGCACTGTACCATTAAACTACATTCCTAGTTGGGTAGTTGTGTCTAGGCTTTTTGTTTGTTTTTCCGTATTTCAAGCAGATTCTCTGTAACTCAGACTGCCCTCAAACTGGCAGTAATCCTCCTGTCTGAGTCTCCTGAATGCTGGCCATAATCATTTGGGCAAATAAAAGTTGGTATTAAGTGTGAAAATATAGTTCAAAAATTACTTTTCCTAGATCTGGATTTCTGTATACTTTTGATAGGGAAATCCTGTGCCATAACAAGGAAATTTGATATCACACACCACCTGATTATAGAAACAGCATCTGTCATTTACTTCACCTGTCACCAATATGTTGCTTTGTATTCAGTCCCTGGAATAAAAGCTTCAATTAATTACAATGCTCTATCATCACCCATTAACACCCATGAAGATCACAGAAAAAAAAGTATTAAATTTATATTTGGAGCATTACAAATATGTACTATGCTTTGGTTAACTGAATATTACAATGTAACTTTCTAGGAAATTATATATATATATATATATGATTTCTAATAAAGCACAAAACCCATAAACTCAGAAGGCTGAGGCAGGAAAACTGAGTTTAAAAGACTAACCTAG